CCCTCTCAGGAACATCCAAGGTCGCTCCTTATACCCTGAACACTGATTCAAGGCGATTGAGAGATGTTTTCGAGAGCGCTGCCCACGATACTCGCACTCGCAATCGTGACCTCAGCTTCGCCAGTCGTCAATGAGACCGCAACAAGCTTGAACGAACGAGCGACCCCTTTGGGCTATGTTTTTAACTTGCACTGGGCCAACGTTGGCTTCTGCAGCGTCGTCGGCAACAAGTACAACAGTCCGTGCCATCCCTCGAGCATACCGCAGTCGATCTGATCAGGAGCTGTAGTCTTCAAGCATGAGGTGCGCACATGGGTGTCCACGGATGTGTCTTGGAAGGTACCGATCGATAAGAATGAAGAGCCTACCTGCGTCAGGGGTGCCTGTAGAGACATCACTTACGACAAGGACAACCGCAAGGAGCATCCGCCCTCTCCAGATTATTACTCGGTGCCACTCTGGGATTTCACTGTCGAATTCGATGGAAGCAAAGTAGCAGGATGGCAAGTCATTTTCTTTGTGAATGGTATGTCATCCCGACTGAACATCCGCGCAGCTGTGATGTTGCCCTCAACGTTGGCTTCTACCTCAATCCTCACACGGGTCAAGGCGTCATAGATCATGAGGGTCTGCAAGGATTTTCAGGTCTTTGTCATATTACTGGCAAATCCAAATTTGGCCAGTCTTGCTACGAGATCCTCAACCGCCCTCCGCAGGCTTGGTTCTCCTTTGAGGATTGCGTCCAAACGAGCACACCGTTAGTATCAAGTCTTGAGATCCACAGAACTGATTTCCGGCTCGCAGCGCAACGATCACCTCAGTGCCGTACTACTCTTGACATGCGCCTGCTCTGGCACGATGTCGTTCCATAACAGGCCGCAAATGCCTGTACAAGAGGAGCTAGATGCATGCGTCTCAGCAGCACTTGGTGTCGATGGTCACAGTGCTCATGGATTCATGTATGCTGACGGTCCGCATTCTGGTAATGTCTGGAAGATCAACTGATCCATCGTCACTCCTCCAACCCGCAATGCGATCTCGACTGCATTGTCATTCGTCTTGCAGCCAATCGACGCCTCGTCCCATCTTCTTCAACGGAGCCATGGATGCATTGCAAGATCCATGGCGCCATGCGTTCGTCGCTCCATACTCCTGGTTACCACTTCTTGTCACCCTTTCGAAAGGTACAGCAGTTGCCACGTAGTCTCTACAACCCTCTCAGGAACATCCAAGGTCGCTCCTTATACCCTGAACACTGATTCAAGGCGATTGAGAGATGTTTTCGAGAGCGCTGCCCACGATACTCGC